ATTACGTAGGTAAGATTAACTGAATCATCCTCCCCTAACATCAGCTGATATCACATGGTTGATGTCACAGTTAATATCGTGTGATATCACGCCTCAGTCTTTCTGGCCTGGCCAGCCCCTACCCAAGAGTCACCTTATTAACGTAACCTGTTAGGTAGGTGTGGTTTGGAGTCCTTATCAAAGACACTGCAATCACTGGAGAAATTTCAAGCTTTTCTCTCTCAGAAACCAAGGAGAAATATCAAATTATTTGTGTAAAGTTAAACCCTACACACACTATGCAATGAAACAGGAATGTGCTTTTTGCTCAGCCTTACCAAACTCACAAACTCAATAAAAACCAAACCCACTGCCGTCAAGTTGATTCTGACTCATGGTGACCCCATGTGTTACAGAGTAGAACTGCTCTAAAGGATTTTTTTGGCCGTAATCTTTACAGAAACAGATTGCCAGGCTTTTCTTCTACAAAGTCACTGCACGGGTTAAAACTGCCAACCTTTAGGCTGATACTCAAGCATAAACCATTTGTACTATGCAGGGACCTTCCCAACTCAATAAACCGCCTATAATCCTGTCTAAATGTCACCAACCATACTCTACGGTCTGCTCTGTCTTCTGCTGGAAGTCTCTTTGTGGTGTCTAGGTTGAAGATGATGATGGTTATCTGGAAGCAAATCTTGTTCTCTTCCAGCTGTCCTAACAGATGACTGCTGCCTTAAGTATAAGCTCTAAAAGATAAAAAAGTACTCACTAAATTGTGTGAGCAGTGACATAATGGCAGCGATAACACTGTAGGCTTCAGTGATACCCCTGTGATAATCTAAATAGGTCAGAATAGTCTGATACATTACGGTATAAAAGTAGACATATTTCTTGCCAATATTACAGATCGTAACTTTTTACCTTCAAAGCTATCTTAAGTTTCTCCATCTATAAAACAGAGTTGATGATAATAGTGTCTTATGCTGAGATTCTCTAGAGCAGTAAAACATATAAACATATATAGAGAGATTTCTATCAAGGAAATGGCTCACACAGTTGTAGAGGCTGGAACATCCCAAGTTCCTGGGTCAGGATACAGGCTTCTCCTGATTCACATAGCTGCAGCACTGGCCAACTCAAGACTGGCAGGTCAGACAGACAGCAGGGCTCTTACTCACAGGCTGCGAAGATCAACAAATCCCAAGATCGGCAAGCAAGACAGCAGGTGAGCTGCTAGCTCAGGTCCCAAGAATTGGAAGTCAGATGAACAGGAGTCCAGAGTGGGCAGAAGCCCACCAATCTTGCCGGAAAGTCCACTTATATATTTGATGCAGGCCACAATCCCAAGGAAACGCTCTTTCAACTGACTGGCTACTCACAGCAGATCCCGTCATGGGGATGATTATATTACATCAAATCTCATCATGGAAGTGATCACATCATCATACGACTGCCAAACTACTGAGAATCACGGCCCAGTCAAGTTGACACATAACCTTAACGATCACAGTCCACCCCTTGTCAACCTGGCACCTGTACACATCTCCTTAAACCACACATAATCTTTGAATAAAGACAATTATAAAGTCATACTTGCACCTAACATGATACAACGAACACACATACAACCAAATACATAAAAGTCCTGTTTTCATCTTGTTTTATAAGTGAAGAAAACAAAAATATTTGATGTACACATACAAAGCAGAAATATTCATAACAATTACAGTCCTCATTTCTGCAACCGGTCACATGATCATAACTGGTATTTAGAACTACCTTCTTCCATGACCCATTCTGTACTCCCTTTGCCCTCGGCAAGCACCTCAGCTGGTCATGGTTCTTTGCCTGATGGGGTGACCCAAACCTTCATTCCTGAAGAGTCTAGGCCATTAGTAGTCATGTCAGAATTGGGTTGCTGTAGTTTCCATTGACTTTAATCACAAGGCATGGTGGTACTAAGAGACACCCTAAGAGATCGTCTGCATTCCAGACATACTCTTCTTTACCTCTATTATGTACCATCAATCCGATTTTCTCTTGGCAGTTAGGATCAATTACACTAGCCAGTATGGTATCTCCCTTCTTTGCCTGTTGATCCAGAGGCACCAGGAAAGTGGCCAGGTGGCATTCTTAATTTCCAGTTTAATGGAATCAGTGATGTGTCTCCAGGTGGGAGCATTTCTCACTTTGGAACTAAGACCTATACACCCGTAGAACATAAGGTCGCGGGGACAGGAAGCAATAATTTTGCAAGTGGGTCACTAGGGGTACCAGTGAGCGGTACCACTCCCATTTCCAACACTTGATTCCCAAACCCATGAGTCCTGGCTATGGGTAAAACAGCACCATACACTGGATGCTGACTTAAGAGGATATACAGCCTCCAGAAGAACACTGCCGCAACCCTGCAAGGTATTGCCACCTAGCTGGCACCATAAATGTGTCTTTAGAAGGCCATTCCATCATTCTATCAAACCAGCTGCTTCAGGATGATGGGGAACATGGTAAGACCAGTGCATTCCATGAGTATGGGCCCATTGCCACACTTCATTTGATGTGAAGTTGAGTCCCCTGACCGGAGGCGATGTTGTGTGGGATACCATGACGGTAGATAAGACATTCTGTAAGTCCATGGGTGGTAGTTTTGGCAAAAGCATTGCTTGCAGGGAAGGCAAATCCATATCCAAAGTAAGTATTTGTTCCAGTAAGAACAAAATGCTACCCTTTCCATGATGGAAGTGGTCCAATGTAATCAACTTGCCACCACATTGCTGGCCGATCATCTCGAGGGATGGTGCCATACTGGGGACTCAGTGTTGGTCTCTGCTGCTGGCAGACTGGGCACTCAGGCACAAGTGGAAACTCTGAGGTCGTTTATGCAGCACTTGAGCTTTAACTCTGAAGTTCTGAGCTCATCTCTTGCACCAGTTTGTCTAGCAAAAGTAGGGCCAATCAACCAGCTTCCTTATATTTCTCATTCTGGGAAAACTGTAGAAAGATACGACACATGCAATCACCCAGAGCCTCGCCTTTCACCAATACTTGATCTACTGGTGGTGACATTTTGCGTCTTTCTATTGTCACCTCATGCCATATATTAGCTATGCCCCCTTTACTACTAGAGGCAGAGTCATTAACATCTTTAAGACCAACTATACTTGAGAACCAATTTAGAAAACTCATCCTTACAATTCTGTTTCTCTAGAACCACTCTCAGTACCAAATGTCTTAGGCTGGGTTCTCTAGAGAAGCAAAACCAGTACAGCGTATACAGAATACAAAGAGAGATTTATATCAAGGAAATTGCTCACATGGTTGTAGCGGCTGGAATGTCCCAAGTCCATGGGTCTGGATAGAGACTTCTCCTGATTCACGTAGTCACAAGGGATGGCAAACCCAAGATCAGCAAGTCAAACAGCAGGACTCTTGCTCTCAAGCTGCAAAGATTGACGGATCCCGAGATCGGCAAGCAAGAAAGCAGGCAAGCTGCTAGCTCAAGTAAGCTGCTAGCTCAAGTCCCAAGAACCGGAGGTCAGATGAACAGGAGCCAGCTGCAGTATCCAGAGTGAGCAAAAGCCCACAAGTCTTGCCAGAAAGTCCATTTATATATTCAGTGTAGGCCACACCCCCAGGGAAACTCCCTTTCAACTGACTGGCTACTCACAGCAGATCCTATCATGGAGATAATCTCATTATATCAAATCTCATTATGGAAGTGATCACATCATCATATGGTTGCCAAACTACATCATGACTGCCAAACCACGGTGAATCATGGGCCAGCCAAACTGAACACATAGCCTTAAGGATCACAAACAGTATCTATCTCCCAGGGTTACTGTGAGGATTAAATGAGATAATGCATACGAGGTTATACTCTTTTGCCTGTGGTAAGCATTTAATACATGTAAGCTGTTATTAACAATAATATTCATGCTACTACTGACAGTAACACTACCATCACCATCACCAATGTTAGAAGCACAGCTCTGACAAGCCCAGCCCAAATTCTATGCAATTTATTTTCTGCTGCTTATTCTCTACTCTGCTTTAACTGCTTTCTGGAAGAGCCTGGATCCTGAATCTCATGTAAGACACATTTATGGTGCTCTGGAAATAACTCGTCTCAGTCTCTTATCCATCATATCACAGGAGTCCTGCCCACAGTCCCCATGCTAAAAGAGGACATGAACACTGATCATAAATTGTCCATGCAGGAGCAATATGCCTGTGGCAATAGTACAGGCTTTGGCGAAGAAGCCTCAAGTAGTTTCCCGAGGTCAGAGTGGTGTGAGACCTCACAGGACAAGAAGACATTACACTCTTTGCCCACTATTATCAACCTTCCCACTAGATCCCTGAAACAGTAACTACATTGCTCTGTTAATCTTGAGCCCAAACTTAAGCAATTCACTCTCTGCTACTTACTCCTCACTATATTCTGCCCTACTTATTCTCTGGGAGAGACCAAGTCTTAAATATTGGGTGAAACGTACTGATGGCATTCCACAAGCAACTCCTCGCACAACTTCCCATTTCTCAAAAGATGAGGGCTGGTTAGTAAACTTGTTTTAACAAACTCCACAACTGTCTAAGCAGAAATGACAGGCTAGTGACACTACTGGAGACTTCAGTTGTGACCTCAGAGTAATGATACTAAGCAAAGATCCTAAACAGGAATGCGTGTGTGTATAAAACACAAAACTTCCCAAATACACATCAAAGGAGGGAACAAAACCGTATAATGAATCCCAAGGTACCCACCAACCAGCTTCAACAATTAGGAACAGTTTGCTTTTTCATCTATCTCTTCTCCCACTTTGTTCCCGGAATATTTTCAGACAAATCCCAGACCATCCTGGCATATTTTCAAATAACTGAAGACATGACACTCCTGGCTGAACTCTGGAGGCCTTAATTCTGTGTATCCCACAAACAAACTAGCTTGACAAGCTCCAGCCCAAATCTTAAGTAACTTAGCCTTTGTCCTTTCTGCCCATTGCATTCTGCTCTACCTGTTCTCTAAGGGAGGCTCGGTCCTGGATTTTAGGTGCAACATACTGAGGATTCTCCTGAGGTAGTTCCTGTCTCACTCTCTCCTCTCTCAGAAAAGATGAGGGCTGCTTGACAGACATGTTCTAAAGAAACAGAAACAGAAAACAATGGGTCTAATCAGGGTAATATGCTAATCACAATACTGTGGCCTTCAGTGAGAACTCCAGGAAAGTGATACTAGGAGAGGATATTCCACAACATTCTGACATAAATGAGGATGTTATACCCTTAGCCCAATTCTGTAGACCTTAATTCTTAAGCTCAAACCATGTACAGAATAGTCTGACAAACTCTCCCAAATCTCAAGTAATTTAGGATCTGCTGCTTCTTGCTACATTATACATGTGGAGACAGTATGCTAGTGGTAACACTATGTGCTTCAGCAAGAGGTGTGGAATAATCTTGGTAAATTAAAATTGATCTACTCTGGAATAAGACATAAAGGTGATGTATCAACCTTCTGAATGACAGACTGATACAGTTGAGACTGGGGCTTTCCGCACCATTAGGCGCAAGGTAGAACAGAAAAACGAGGAGACAGATCAGCAGGAAATGAACTGTTTACGGTTCAACACTCTACACCCATCCTTCTTGAAGATGGGCCTCTATTCTAACAGGACTGCCTGCTCACACTAAGGAATAAAAAGACACTGCATTCTTAGGTTAACTTCAAAGGCCTTGGTTCTATCCTTCAGATTACCAGTTGCATAGAATTTATTTCCTGCTTCTTTCCCTCTTTTTTGTCTTGCTCTACTGGATCTCTGACGCAGGTGTGGGCCTGGAGTTTAGGAGGCAGATGCCGATAACCCGCCAGAGCAAAGTCTTCTCTCCTTCTCTCATCTGTCATATCAGAATATGGCTCCTTGAAGCGTACTTTCTAAAAGAGAAAAAACACAAACTATAAATTGTCCAGTAAAAGTAATATGATAGCAATAATATGCTAGGTTTTATTGAGAGCCTTAGGGTAATTTTTTAACACAGGATAATATGAAATATTATGAAATAAAACAGAAAACTATACTTTTTGTCAGTTCTGAAGTTTAGCTGAGAGCAATCTTTGCAAACTATAAACAAAACCCTAAACAATTCAGTTCCTGCTGGTCTCTCTCCTCTTTTTTCTGTCCTACCTTGTACCTGATGGAGGCCTGATCTTGACGCCTGTGTAGAAGATCCTGATGGACATCCAGAGGAAACATCTCTCTCTCTCCCCTACCTATCAAAATTGATGCTGACTGTTTCAAATTTGCTTTCTAAAAAAAAACAAACACAAAATATCAATTGTTCAGTTAAGAATAGGCTACTAAGCACAACAATAAAAAAATCTTAAAAAAATAAAAAAAAAATAGAATAATAGGCTACTTTGGTGAAAGGAGAGACAACACACAACATAAGTGAAGTCAGCACAACCTGACCAAGGCAAAGTCATAGAAGCTCTCTAGATACATCCAAACACCTTGAGGGACCGAGTTACTGGGCTGAGGGCTGGAGACCATGGTCTCAGGGGACATCTACGTCAACTGGCATAAGATAGTTCATAAAGAAAATGTTCCACATCCTGCTTTGCTGAGTGGCATCTGGGGTCTTAAAAGCTTGCGAGTGGCCATCTAAAATACATCTATTAGTCCCATCCCATTTGGAGCAGAGGAGAACGACAAAAACCAAAGGCACAAGGACAATCTCAGTCCAAAGGACTAAAGGACCCCATGAACCACGGCCTCCACCAGCCTGAGCCCAGAACAGCTAGATGGTGTCCACAACTACCACCACTGACTACTCTGACAGGAGTCACAATAGACGGTTCTGGACAGAGTGGGAGAAAAATGGAGAATGAAATTCAAATTCACAAAAAACGACCAGACCTACTGGTCTGAAAGAGACTGGAGAAACCCTGAGACTATGGCCCCCAGACAACCTGCAAACTCAGAACTGAAGCCACTCCTGAAGCCCACTTTTCAGCCAAAGATTGGACAGGCCTCGAAAACAAACAATAACACACGTGAGGAACGTGCTTCTTCGTTCAACCGAGTGTACAAGACCTAATGGGCAACATCTGCCTGAAAGCAAAGACAAGAAGACAGGAAGTGACAGGAAACCTGGACAAATGGACACAGACAACTCAGGGTGTAAAGGGAAGGGGGGACAGCGCTGGCACATTGCAGGGATTGCAACCAACATCACAAAACAATTGGTGTATAAATTTTTGAATGAGAAACTAATTTGCACTATAAACTTTCACCTAAAACACAATAAAATCTAAAAAAAAGAAAAGGCTAATAATACTTTAGGCTTTAGTGAAAATTGTGGCGCTAACTGAAGTCCAAGTATAACTGGACATCTTATGGAATAAAACAAAAAACTGTACTCCACATGTTCAACTACACTATAATCCTCTCACCCACTGAACCCACTGCCGTCGAGTCAATTCCGACTCACAGCGACCCTACAGGACAGAATAGAACTGCCCCATAGGGTTTCCAAGGAGCAGCTGGTGGATTACGAACTGCCAACCTTTTGGTGAGCAGCCTGAGCTCTTAACCACTGCACCACCGGGGCTCCATAATCCTCTTAAGCCTAGTCAAACCATAAGTAATTTACTTCTTGTTCATCCCTTTCTTCTAGTTGGTCTAATTGATCTCTGGTAGAGGGCTGGCCTTGGAACATGGATGAAAGACACTGCTGGGCACTTGTGGGCCATTTCTTTTTCCATCTTTCAGCTGTCAAAGCAGGTGACGGCTGCCTGAAGTATATTTCCTAATGAAGATAAAAAACAAAGTGAACTGTCCAGATAGGGATAATATGCTGCTGATAATACTTTAACAGTTTGAAGAACCCTAGAGTTTCAAGAAATCAGTCAGGAAACTATTTTTTCCAACTCTGGATCTCCAAATCAACTGCAATGTAGTCCTTGCAAACTCCACTCCAAACCTTAAGTAGTTTATTTATTCTTGTTCCATTTCCCTTCTACTTTATTTTACCTGGTCTTTGGGGAGAAAATTCTGTTCCTGACATTTGGGTAGAATATTCTGGTCTTTGGGGAGAGAACTCTGGTCTTTCAGTAGAACACTTTGGTCTCTGAGTAGAAAATCTTCTTCTTTGGATAGAAAATTCTGGTCTTTGGGTAGAAAATCTTGGTCTTTGGGTAGAAAACCCTGGTTTTGGGGTAGAAAATCAAGGGCTTCGAGCACAATACTCCCATCTTCTGGCTCAATACTGTGGGCTTCCAACGTACCACCTTGAGTTTCTGTCTCACCAGCCTGGGTTTCGGGCTCCCCGGCCTGGGCTTCGGGCTCCCCGGCCTGGGCTTCGGGCTCACAGGGCTGGGATTCGGGCTCACAGGGCTGGGATTCGGGCTCACTGGCCTGGGCTTCGGGCTCACAGGGCTGGGATTCAGGCTCACAGGGCTGGGATTCGGGCTCACTGGCCTGGGCTTCGGGCTCACGAGCCTGAACTTCCAGCTCAATAGCCTGGGTATCTAGCTCAACATTCTGGGCTTCTGGCTCAACACTATGGATCCCTGGTAAATCTCCCTGGGTTTCTGACAGATCACTTTGGGCTTCTGGAAGATAATCCTGGGCTCTTGGCAAAATATCCTGAAGATGTAACTGCTTTAGCTCTTCCTCTTCCATCACATCAAATAATGGATTTTTGAATTGTACTTTCTAAAAGTGAACATAAACACCAATACAGAATGTTAGGCTACAGCCAACACTCTAGGCTCTCTGAGATTCATAACATAATCCTGAAAGGATATGACAGTAAAACAAACTACTAGAATAAAATATGAAACTATAGTCTTTGCCCAACTTAAAAGAACCTACATCTATAATCCCAAAACAATACAACAATACTGACAATCTCTAGTCCAAACTGTAATTAGTTTACTTTCTACTTCCCTATCTATTTTTCATTCTGCTTTACCTGAACTCTGTTGAAAGGCTTGTTCTTGATTTCAGAAAGGAGATCCTGCTGGTCCCTCCAAAGTAAATTCTTTCTCCATTTCTCATCTGTCATAATAGATGAAGATTCTCCAGAGTCAAGTTTCTAAAGAATAAACAATTTTTTTTAAAAATGTAGATATTACAGGTAGAAACAACATGATTGCAATAAAATCCTAGGCTTCAGTATATTAGAGTATAATTCTAGTAGGTCAGCAGAGTCAAACATTGTAAAAACTAGACATTATAGAAAAAATGCAAGCCTTGTATACTGAAAACTACAAAACATTGTTGAAAGAAATTAAAGAAGATCTAAATGAATGAAAGGAGCCCTGGTTAAGCACTTGGCTGCTAACTGAAAGGTCTGTGGTTTGAACCTTCCAGCTGCTCTGCAGGAGAAAAGTCTGGCAATCTACTCCCATAAAGATTACACCCTAGAAAACCCTATGGGGCAGTCCTACTCTGTCATGTAGGGTCGCTAAGAGTCAGAATCAACTTGATGGCACACAACAACAAATGAATGGAAAGATATCCTGTGTCTATGGATTGGAAGATTAATGTTGTTAAGATGGCAATATTTCCAAATTGTTGATCGATTCCATACAATCCCTATCAAAATTCCAACTGACTTTTTTGCAGAAATTGACAAGCTATTCCTAAAAGTCATATGAAAATGCAAGGAACCCAGAATAGCAAAACAATCTTGAAAAAGAACAAGGTTGGAAGACTCACTCTTCTCAATTTTAAAACTCACTATAAAGCTAGAATAATCAAGACAGTGTGGTACTGGCAGAGGAGTAGACATACAGATCAGTGGAAAAGAACTGTGACTTCAGAAATAAACCCTGAAGTTTATGATCAACTGATTTTCAACAAAGAAAAACAAGACAACTCAGTGGGGAAAGAATAGCATTTTCAACCAATGGTGCTGGGAATCTGGATATTCATAGACAAAAGAATGAGGCTGGGCCCCTAACACCATAAACAAAAATTAACTCAAAATGGATCATACACCTAAGTGTAAGAGCTAAAACTATAAAACTCTTAGAAGAAAATGCAGACTAAAGCTTTATGACCTTGGGTTAAGCAATGGTTTATTAGATATAACACCAAACACACAAGCGACAAAAGAAAAAATAGATAAATTGAACTTCATCAGATTGAAAATTCTGTGCTACAAATGTACCATCAAGAAAGAGAAAAGACAGCCCACAGAATGGGAGAAAATATTTGCAAGTCATATATGTGATAAGGGACTTGTAGCCAGAATATATAAATAACTCTTACAATTTAATAATAAAAGGATAAATAACCCAATTAAAAAATGGGTAAAAGATTTGACTAGACGTTTTTCCACAGAAGATTTACAAATGAGCAATAGCACATGAAAAGATACTCAGCATCATTAGGAAAATGCAACTCAAAAACAAATGAGATCCACATGCAGAAGAATGAATAAGGATTAATGCCTCACACCATACACAAAAACCAATTCCAGATGGATCAAGAACCTAAATGTGAAAACTAAAACCATAAAACTCTTAGAAGACAATGTAAGGGCGCAGCTGTGGGACCTAAGTTTAATGAGAGATTATCTGACATGACAACAAAAGCTCAAGTAGCATAGACAGCATAGATAAATGGAGCCTCATGAAAATTAAATACTTTTGTACATGAAAGGACTTTATCAATAAAGTGAAAAGACAACTCACAGATGGGGAGAAAATTCTCAGGAATCATATATCAGATAAGAGTCTAATATCCAAAATATATACAAAATGTCTCTATATAAGACCAAACGGTCAACATTTGCCCAAAAGCAAAGATAAGAAGGTAAGGAGGGGCAGGAAAGCTAGATAAATGGAAACAGAACAAACAGAAGGGAAATAATGAGAATGCTGACACATTGTGAAAATTGCAACAACTGTCATGGAACAATGTGTATAAAAATTGTTAAATGGGAACATAATTTGCTGCATAAACTTTCGCCTAAAACACAAGAAAAAAAAATATATATATATATAAAACTTCTATCACTTACCAAGAAAAAGACAAACAACCCAATCAAAAATGGGCAAAGGACTTGAACAGACCATTCACCACCAAAGAGGATATTCAAATGACTAACAAGCACGTGAAAAGATGTTCCACATCATTAGCCACTAAGGAGCTGCAAATCAAAACCACAGTGATATATCTCCACACCCACACTAGAATGGCAATGATCACAAAAACAGAAAACAACAGGTGTTGGCAAGGTTGGGGAGAAACTGGAACCCTCATCCATTGCTGGTGGGGATTTAACACGGTGCAGCCACTATGGAACAGTTTGGTGATTCCTCAACAAGTTGAACACAGAATTACCATATGACCCAGCAATCCCAATCCTAGGTATAAACCCAAAAGAAGTGAAGGCAGGAACACAAACAGAAACCTGTACACCAATGTTCACTTCAGCACTGTTCACAATAGCTGAAAGGTACAAACAGCCAAAATGTCCATCAACAGATAAATGTATAAACAAAACGTGGTATATACTGTACGTGGAATATTACACAGCCATAAGAGAAACGAAGTTCTAATACATGCCACAACATGGATGAACCTTGAAAACATGCCGGGTGAAATAAGTCAGTCGCAAAAGGACAAATACTGTATGATCTCACTTACGTGAAATAAGCAAATATATAGAAACCAAAGATTATTAATGGTTACCAGAATAGGAGGGAGGGAGAAAGGGGGAGTTTTTGTTTGGAGGGCACTGTGTTTATGTTAATAGTGGTGGAATACTTTGGAAAAGGATAACGATAATGGTGGTACAACATGAAAAACGTAATCAATGTAATTGAACTGTAAATGCTGAAGTTGTTGTATTGGTGAATGTTTTGGTGTGCATACTTTCACCACAATAAAAAAAAAGAAGTAAATGAGATACCACTTCACACCCACCAGCACAGCTATAATCAAGAAGATGGACAATAACAAGTGTTGGCGAGGTGTGGAGAAATTGAATCCCTCATACACTGCTGATGGAAAACAGTTTGGCAGTTCCTCAAAATGTTAAACACAGAGTTACCATATGACCTAGCAATTCCACTCCTAGGTATCTGTTAAGGATTGAATGGTGTCCCCAAAAAAATATGTGTTGTAAATTCTAACCCCTATATCTGCAGTTACAATCCCATTTGGGAATTGGTTTTCTTTGTTATGATAATTAGATGGTTAATATTAGTCTAGGATTGTCTTAAGTCAATCTCTCTTGAGATATAAAAGAACACATTAGGCACAGAGAAGCACAAGGAGGGATGGGGGAAGATAGATGCCAAGCCACATGAAGATCACCAAGGAACCAAGGAACAAGGATCTTCCTCCAGAGCCAACAAAGAGAAAGGCTTCCTCTAAAGCTGACGCCCTGAATTCAAACTTCTAACCTGTGAGAAAATTAATTTCTGTTAGTTAAAGTCACCCACTTGTGACAGTTCTGTTACAGCAGCGCTAGATACCTAAGACAGTATCTACTCAAAAGAAATGAAAACATACATCCACACAAAAACCTGCACAACTGTACATAACAGCCAGAAGTCAAACGACCCACCTATCTACCAAGCGATGATTCGCTAAATAAAATGTGGTAGATCCATACAATGGAATATTATTTGGCAATACAAAGGAACAGAAATTACGAAACGCGTGAACCTTGAAAACATTATGCTAAGTGAAAGAAGCCAGTCACAACAGACCACATTTTACATGATTCTATTTATATGAACTGTCCAGAATAGGAAAATCCAGAGATAGAAAATAGATTAGTGACTGCTTAGGACTAGGGGTAGGGGCAGGGAGGGAATGGGGAGTCATAACTAGTAGGTATGAGGTTTCTTTTAGGGGTGATGAAAATGTACTAAAATTAGATTGTGGTAACGGCTGCACAACCCTGCGAACATACGAAAAAACATGGAAGTGTACACTTTAAACGGGTAAACTGTATGGCATGTGAATTATATTTCAATAAAGCTGTTAAAAAAAACTAGGCATAATCTTAACCCTTAATCCTATCTTAATTAGCTGTGGACAATTCTAAGAAGTCATTTTTCCCTCTACTCTTTACGTTTATTTCCCTACCTCACTTTGCATGAAGTTGTGATAATGTACAGTAGCTGAAAGACTCTGATGGACCTTCAAGGGAAATCCTTCTCTTGTTTCTATATTTATCCTGATGGATGCTGGCTTCCTAGAAAGTGCTTTCTGGGAAAAAAAATCAATGCAAACATAAATGGTTTAGAGAAAGCAGTATCTTCATGATACCAAGTTGAGTTTTTGTGAAAGATCTGGAGCAATCTTAATAGGTTATGACAGTCCAATACAGAATAAAGGAAAAAAATAATGAGTTCTACTTCACACATATTAACAAATCATTCACATGTCAAACCCATGAAGGGAAACAAGCTGGTAGGAGAATATATTAAATTTATAAATGACAACTTGCCCTTATATTCTAGCCAGTAACAATTTCAGAAGACTTATGATTTTAGTCTTGGCGAACTGACAGAGGGCAAGTAAATACATGTTCTACTTGTATTGGCAAATCTGGAACAAAAATAACACACAGACAGATTCTAATGTCACTAAAGATAAGTCTAACAAGGAAATGAAACCAGAGTTCAGCTGGGTTATAAATAGTTCTCCTCCTCTGACTGGCAGATTCCCACGTCACCTCACTGACAAGGTAGAAAACTGTTCAGATCTGTGGGAAAGGCTATATACTTGATGCAAGTGATAAGAAAAAAATCCATAAATTTCTTAGATCCCTTCTAATTAAATCGAGTAAATTTGCTTCTTAAATTTCTGTTTACCTGAAAAACACCTGCATTCTTCAGCCAGCCTGAACTCATAACAATATTAACAACAATAATGAATTACACTTACAAATGGAAACTTTGACGTATGAGACTCACTTATACATAAGATTTGTGTATACAAGGATGTTATCTCAAACTTGATCTACCCTTCTACTGGATAATTGTTTCAGTTAGACCTTTAAACAGTATTCTTTCTGGAAAAACATCTATTGAAAGGTTTGAGCATGTTCCACACAACATAAAACGCCAGTCTCCAGGACCAAATAACCCTTTCTTTTTTAAATTAGAAAGTATCCAAATACCTCATTCTAACAATACCCTAAAGTCATTCTAATGGCCGCAACTATAATACTGCCAAATCGTAGTAAATATGAAAACTGTCAAGAAATCAAGTTGCTGAGAAGAACTTAAGCACAAAAGAAACTCGATCTCAAGAGTCATGACAAATCTGTAGAAGAAAAGATAAAATTCAGTTGACTATGCATAGAATGCTTACTATTCTCCTGAATCTGTACTCAGTAAAAGTCTTATTCTTAAATGACTTTTGCTGAACTATTAGTCTGTCATAAGTAATGATTTATAAATTTTGCCTAATAAATCACTCCCCTGGCTCACAGCTTAAAAAAAAAGAAAAAAAAGTCATGACAAGAAAACACTACAAAAAGACAACCAACCCAAACGCATCTAGGATGTGCTGCCATATGTAAACACACACTCATCCATGCCCATTTGTTTTTTAAATTTAATTATACATTTCTTAATTATCATTGAAGAGGAAGGCATTATAGTTTTGTATTCAACAAACCACAAACATGTAACAGACAGATGTTTTTGATGGTTGTGTTGAGCTGCTTACAGAAAAAATACAAAAATTTTATATATATCCAGAAAAATGTGAAAGAAAACAGCGATCTGGAAGCTAAACTGGAAAAGAGCTAAACAAAAGACAGAGCTGATGATAGCATAAATAAACAGATAAACTAAAAAAGGCTAACGGCCCATTTTACTAGACGCTGCCTATCAAACTTGAAAATAATGCCAAAATTAAGTCAACATAGGAAGACACATGAGTTTAGCATCCAAATTTGTGAACTCTGAAATAAAGAGGCACCAAAACAATGTCAATTGATCAATATAGACTTAAATATTGGTAATTCACATTTGGACTCTAATTATTTAGTATAATCTTACGTTTTGAATCAAAAGAATTTTTTTCTTTTTAAAGAACAACGGTTATTGATTTTTGTTCTGATTATAAAATAAATTATATACATTATAACCCGTTGTTGTCGAGTCAATTCCGACTTGTGGTTAGCAGCCTAAACTCTTAACGACTGTGCAAGAAAACTTAGAAAGAAAAGATAAATCTCCTGTAGTAACACTACCCAGGAATAATCAGCATTAACTTCCTGGTTCTTTTCAGGCTTCTGTCTATGCACATAGCATTCTGTCTCCATCCCTTTACTGAGCTTTATTTTTCTTCACAGCACTTATCACTTGAAATTATATTCTATATTCAATTGCTTGTCTGCCTCCCCACTAGCACGGAAGCTCCTTGAGGATCCCTGTCTATCTTTTCACTATTAAAGTCCTGCTTACAGAACAACGGCTGGCCCTTGTAGACATTCCATAAATATCTGTTGAGTGAACATATATTTTTAACAAAATTGAGGCCATACTGTATGTAAGTTGGTATCCTATTCTGTTCACTTAACTTTATATCACAGACACTTTCCCTTGTCTTCAGATATTCTCTGAAAACATATTTTTTAGAATGGCTACATATGGATGTATCATAACTTATTTAACCATTCCCTATTACTGGATATTTAAGACTATTTCCAAGTATTTTTGTTTTAAATTATACTAAGATATAAATAAATCTTTGTATATATTTTTTAAAAGTTTACTGAAAACAAATTTACCCAACAGCAAAAACAACCAAAAATATATGTGTGAGTACATATGTGTGTATGTAGGCATATATGCGTACAGGTATGTATACACAGGTGTATGCATATGCATATGTATATGCATCTATGTGAGTGTACGCACATATATTCATATCTATAATAAAGCACACATGGAACACAGTTACAGAAACTTCTCAGACATAACCAAACACTCGCAGGATTGGATTTCTGAGTTTGAAGGATTAGGACATCTCGGTCAATTGGCATAATACAGTTTATAAAGTTATGTTCCACATCCTATGCTGTGAGTAGTGTCTGGGGTCTTAAACGCTGGCAAGCAGCCTCCTAAGATACAAATATTGCTCTCTACTAATCTGGAACAAAAGAGAAAGAAAGAAACCAAAGACTCAGAGAAGAAACTAGTCTACAGGACAAAGAGTCTGCACAAACAGCCTCATCTACCCTGAGACCAGAAGAACTAGATGGTGCCTGGCTACCACTACTGACATTCTAATTAGGGTCACAAAAAGGAACCCTGATAGAATGGGAGAAAAATGTGGTACAGAACTTCAAACCCCTGAAAAAAAACCCAGACCTATTAGACTGATTGAGACTGGAGGACTCTCCAAGACTATTGCCCTGAGATACTCTTCAAACCTTGAACTGAAACTAACCCCTAAGGTCACCTTGTAACTAAATAATAAATTGGATCAAAAAATAACGTATATCACCTGTAAGCAGTGTGCTCCTTTAAAAAATCACGTATACAAGACCAGACGGTCAACAACTACTTTAAAACAAAGATGAGAATGTAAGGGGGTAGGAAAACTAGATTAACGGAAATGGAACAACCAGAATGCAGATAATGAGAATGTTCATGCACTGTAAAGAATGGAACCAATATTACTGAACAACTTGTGAAGAAACTGTTGAATGGGAACCTGAACTGCAGTGTAAACCTTCACTGAAAACACAATAAAATATTAACAAAATAAATAAATAAACAGATTTACCTCTTGGGTGGGAACACTTTTCCTTTTCCCATCTGGAAACACTGTTGCCTTTTTTTTACCCATAGTTTTAAAGGACGCCAGCTGGTGACGCACCTGTTTCATGGTTTGACTGAGCTGCCAAGAAAAGAAAAAAAAAGCAAACAAAAACAGGCTAAGGTCTTAATACTAAATACACTGAGTATTCCAATAGGAAAACAGGCCCCTATTATTAAAAAATGCCAGACATAAAACAAGAGGATTACTTACAAAGGAGACTTTGATCTACTGATAGTGTTTTTACAACATTATTTTCATTATTCTAAGAGACTATATTTCATAACTTGATTAAAGAGCTGTTCCTCAAATTGTTTTTTGATAATGTATGCTTTCCGTTAACTGTATATACAAAGATATCAGAACCTAAAAGTCTGAATTAGTATACAGTCACACGCCGCATATATCCGTTCAGGCAACATCCAACTGCATACGTGCCCATGGTCCCATCAGGTTATAATAAGAGTTCAGAAATCCTGATTGGAGAATGGGACACATTTGACAATCATAATGATCCTCAAAAACAAAGGAAAAATTTTCCAAGCTGTTCAAGGATCGGCTCCACGGAAAGCTACAAGGCTAACAAAAATGTGTGAGGGACCTGTGTCAGATGTGGAGAAATGGCTAATGATGCAGATTGAGGACCAAACAGAAAAGCCAATGCCACTCAGAACATTGGCAATCATTGCTAAGGCACAAAGCTTGTTCAAGATGCTTAAAGAAAAAGCAGAGCCAGACTACGACACTGAGCTCAGTGCTAGCTCTGGGTGTTTCAAGCTATTCAAATGTTTGTTGCTGCATAATGTGAAAGCGAGCGGTGAGCCTGTGAGTGCTGATGCGAAGGCAGTAGGAGAATTTGTTGAAGTCTGCTTAGTCAATGCAGGTACACTACAGTCTCCCACACAGCTTTGCTAAGTCTATCATATGGTGTTCGCACAACGTCCAAACCACGTAATGTCCCATCTCACAGAATGCATCCCAGACGTTAAATGACACATGACTCTACTTGGAAATTACTAAGCAGACATGTTCTATCCATCTTTTCAATAAGGAGTTATTTCAACTGGTCCTTATATATCCATCCAACCACTTTCGTCACTCCTTGTGATCACTAGGACTCTTCTCCTAGTATCTCAAAAACCCTTTTTTCCGTATTAACGTGAACTCCCTCTTCACCCCCAACATTTGAAGACTATAGCCATATAAAGACTCCAGGAAGTCTTCCTAAACTAACTTAAAACACAAACTCAAGGAGTTCCCACAAAATGGCGCTCTAGGCAGAAGCACCACGCCGTCCCTCCACACCAAAGATCCGAAAAACTAAGCAAAACAGAGAACACAACCATCCTGAAACCCAGAACATCAAATGAAGAGATAAAGAACTCAGGCAAGCACCAAATGGAGTGAGAAAACTGACAGAGAACGGAGAGCGAGGAGAGATTCATGCAGAGGTCCCCTACCAGCTAACGCAGCACGGATCCACCATCTTGGACTCCTATCGGAGACCAACAAACAGGGGTACGAGAAAGCAGCCTCACGAAGCATCCAGCGGAAGACAAAACAACCAGTAATTTGCGGTGTGCGCTCTCCCACCCCCCACCCCTCTTCGCCCCGGCTCGGCCTCCTCTGCTTCCCGTGGCCACAGTCTCTTGACCGGGAAGCGCCGGCTGCTTGGATTCTACACACCCAAGCGGGCAGCTCTCTGGGTGCCATATGTTGGCTGCTAGTGTTGCTTTATTTTTCTGCTTCTTTTGATTTCTCACTTGCCTCTCACCACCTCCCCCTCCTTTCACTCAAGTGCCTGGCTCCGTGCGCCACCTTTGCTTCTTCCTGAGGGGCTGCAGAGCGCCGGCAATTTATGATATACGCTTTCCCATTCTCCACCCTTCTTCATCCACACTCGGCCTCCTCTGCTTCCACGGACACAGTCTCCTGTCCAGAAACACCAGCCCACACAAGCTGGCTCTCTGAGTGCCATTTGTTGGCTGCTGGTGTTGCTTTTTTTCTTTTTTTTCCTGCTTCTTTGGATTTCTTGCTTGCCTCTTCTCGCCTCCCCCTCCATTCGCTCGAGTGCCTGGCTCCGTGTGCCATCTTTGCTTCTTCCTGAGGGGCTGCGGAGGTCCATTTGAGTGTGAAGCTGCTTCCCGGTCTGGGCTACTGCGCTGATGGGATCCCGGGGCTTTTGTTCGTTTGTTCCTCTGCTTCCCGCGGCCACAGTCTCTTGACCAGGAAGCGCCGGCTGCTTGGATTCCACACACCCAAGCAGGTGGCTCTCTGGGTGCCATTTGTTGGCAGCTGGTGTTGCTTTTTTTTCCTGCTTCTTCTGATTTCTCGCTTGCCTCTCGCCACCTACCCCTCCTTTCACTCAAGTGCCTGGCTCCATGTGCCATCTTTGCTTCTTCCTGAGGGGCGCCAGAGCGCCGGCAATTTGTGATATACGCTTTCCTGCTCTCTACCTCTCTTCACCCACACTCGGCCTCCTCTGCCTCCCGTGGACACAGTCTCCTGTCCAGAAACACCAGCCCGCACTGGCTGGCTCTCTGAGTGCCATTTGTTGGCTGCTGGTGTTGCTTTTTTTCTTTTTTTCTGCTTCTTTGCATTTCTTGCTTGCCTCTCGCCACCTCCGCCTCCTTTCGCTCGAGTGCCTGGCTCTGTGCGCCATCTTCGCTTCTTCCTGAGGGGATGCGGAACTCCATTCGAGTGTGGAGCTGCTTCCCGGTCTGGGCTAACGCGCTGGTGGGATCCCGGGGCTTTTGTTCGTTTGTTTGTTTTGAATTGTCTGTTTTCTTTTCCTGAGTTGGGAGCCCTTTCTGGCCAGGCGGAGCTGCGTGGCAAGGAACTCCCCTTCAGCTTCCACAGACGTGCAGAGGGATCCCTGAAGGCATTTCTTTTTTTGTTGGTTTTTTTTTTTCCTTTCCTTCTGTTTTTTTTTGGGGGGGAGTATTTCTTTTTCTTTTTTTTTTTTAATTTGTTTTGTTTTCTTTTCCCTCTTTGTCTTTCTTCATTGCTCAGTTTCTCGTCTCTCTATATCTTCCTTTTCTTTCTGATCCCTGAATACCTGGCGTTGTATACCTCTACGCCTTCTAGCCAGGCTGTACTGCAATACCTGAGAGCGACTTCCCCAGACCTCATAGCTGCGTCGGTGGGATCCCTCGGAACTTTGCGGTTCTTTACCCTTTCTGATTTTTATTTATTCATTCTTTTCTTTTCTTCCTCTTCCTCTTTCTGTTTTTCTCCATTCCATAGTCTCTCATCTCTCCATTCCAACGGCAAGCTCCCCTAGCATTCTTTTTTGTTTGTTTGTATGTTTTTTGGCTCCTGTTCCTCTCTCC